GGTTAGAGGACAACTTGTAGAAGACAGCCAGCTACATTTTGGATTGTTGCATTTTGTTTCAAGTGGGTCGCCAACGCAGAAAGGTCAATGCAACATTATTTTGTTAATCACTCATATCGATATGAATTTGAAATCAATAGAGTGGGGGCAAACGTTTGGGGTGGATGCACTGTTTAAACTAACACTATTCAAAGGCCACAATGAATCTGAGGATCATTTTCATATCAGTGGTTAGAAGAATTTGCTAAAGACAGTCATCTAAATTCTAGAACAGGGGTGTCAAACTCATTCCAAGGAGGGCCGAGTGTCTGCAGGTTTTTGGTTTTTCCTTTCAATTAAGACCTAGACAACCAGGTGAGGTGAGTTCCTTACTAATAGGCCCTTTTCACGATGACGTCATCTAACTTCCGCCTTTCCGCGTAGCAGGTTAACTTCACTTCCGTTCGCCCGTAACCTGAGACTTCTCAACGAAAATACAACTGTTGACCACTAACTAGCAAGCTAGCTACTTGAAGAAATTCCAAAAGGTACGTTTAAGTTAAATTAGTAAAGTTAAGAGTAATAATGTTTACGTATATGCAATGGTTTGTAACTTGCTAACGTTATTGTTAATTCATAATTGTTCACTGCCTTAGTTACTTAAAAGTGGGCTAACGTTAGCTAACAACAACTTAGTACCAGATACCGATAACGTTAAAAGGTAGCGTTACATTGCTGCCTGGCTGTAATGTAACAAGTTTACTTAGCTAGCTATCTAACCCTTTGTTAGGCAGTTAGTTTATTCATGAATGTATAGTAACTCACCTATTCAAATACTGTTGTGCATGATAGCTAGATAAATATTGATTCCTGGTCAAAGCTGAATGTTAATTTAGCTGTTTCTTTTCTCCCGGTGTCTGTATCGCAACAGTATCCCATCCAACACCGAAGCATGGCACAATCTTCGAGAAGATGCTATTGCAGTGTACCATTTTGTTCAAACAACAAACAGAAATTCCCGTATCTGAGTTTTCACGATTTCCCTGTTGATGGAGAAATACGTGCCCGTTGGGTGAGGGCGATCAGGAGAGATGAGGGACCAAGTTTTAAGATTCTTCGTGGGAGCACCTTTGTTTGCAGTCAGCACTTTCCCCCTGAGGATAGATACACATCGGCCAGTGGACGGATCCGTATTAAACAGGGATCAGTGCCGTCTAGATTCCACTGGAATGATTGGGGTAAGGATAGGTAGACAGCGTTAAACGTAATACTACTGTAATCCAATAATATATTACTTGTACAAAATGTTTAATAATTTAATCCTGATGCAATATAGCTGCTACATTTTGTCATTTTAGGGACTGAAAAGTGATTACCAAAATGTATCATGACAAGCATATGGTTAATTTCACACATATAGGAGGCGGCTCACAAGCTCGGGAGTCAGTTTACCAGCGAGCAAGAAAGCATCTTGGTGTTGCTGTCCTGGATGATTCTGATCATGAGATGCCTGACAGCACAGAGGGTGCTTTGCCTGCAGTGACAAACGATCACGACTATGCCTGCCGTCCTTCTCCTGGTTAGTATTACAAATAAGAGTAACCATGTATCTGTATCCTGTATCCGGATGTAAACATAACCTGCATCGCGGCAGAACGGAAGTTGTCTGACGTCACGTGAAAAGGGCCTATTAGTTCCTTACTAACCCGCAGACTCTCCGCCCTCCGTGGAATGACTTTGACACGTGTTCTAGAATGTCGGATGGAAGTTTTGGAAGGCTGCCAAAACGGGGAAGGAAACAAATCAGTTGCTTTGTTATTTAGCTTCAACAAATCACGTCCGCCATAGGATATCAACAGTGACAAGGGCTGGCTGTTATTTGAGTGATAGTTTAACTCTCAAATCCATGTATAGGTGTTAGGCCAGCGTCTTTTATACAGGGAGCATCAAAATGTTCCCTGCCATTTGAGTTAGAAAATTATAGTAGAATTATATGTCGTAAGACCACCAGTGCATACGACAAAATCAACGATTTTGATATTGATCTGTTTTAAGCAATCGATTTTGTGTCATTGTGTTTACTATAAAATGTTTATACTAACATCACTAATCTGAGGTAAAAAGGATGTGCAATTACCCTCAATTTAATGTGGTCAAAACGTGAGGTTGTGTAATGTAGTAACACATACTGTCCACGTACAGGAAATTAGTGTATTTTTTACATTTTATTCATTTAGCAGACGCTCTTATCCAGAGCGACTTACAATTAGTGCGTGCATACATTATTTTATTTTGTTAAAAATCATACTGGCCCCCCGTGGGAAACGAACCCACAACCCTGGCGTTGCAAACGCCATGCTCTACCAACTGAACTACATCCCTGCCGGCCATTCCCTCCCCTACCCTGGACGACGCTGGGCCAATTGTGCGCCGCCCCATGGGTCTCCCGGTCGCAGCCACCTACGACAGAGCCTGGATTGGTTATGTTCAACAGGGTTGGTTATGTTTTCACTTGACACTGCAGAAATATGTATTCGATGTTTATGTATTCCTATTGGTTGGTTGAATTCACATATTAATATTATGACATTGGTCATGCTTGCAGATAGGGGGAGATCGCGAAAGTAAATTCTTCCCAGTCTGATATTGACATTCAAGCAGTAGGTCATGTTCTGAAATACTGTATTCTATTTTCATATTTACAATGTGTGCGAGTTCACTATGTACATGTCCTGATGTGTATATATGTGTACGGTACCTGTTAGATATTGGGGCACACCCGTCGCTATGAGCGGGCCATAGGGGGCCGGGCCCGCACCCCAAAATGCTTGTGCCCCCCTCTTTCCATCACATACTGACCAGGTGAAAGCTATGAGCACAATATTTACACACAGCTTTTTGATACCTTCTAATCTGTAAGCATGTAGCCCTTCACACTCATACCCGTATATACGGGTCGAAAATGGCAGTTTTGGGCACTAATAAGCGCCTAAATTGGAACGTAGTGTACAGTAACATGCTATACAGGACGTCAGAGCTCTGGCTCTGCAATTCACAGCGCTGTATGTTTTGACTGACAGCCGTTCTGAACTTGAGCACTGCACGCGACAAGAAGTTGCCCCCATCCCTCCAGATAATAGGGCCATTTTTTGGTTGTCTGACATGTACCCTTGGTTGTTCTGAACAGAATGAGCCTGTTCGTTTGTGAAGAAAATTTGCCATGGCACACGCACATGAATGTACTCATGACTCCTTTCTATGTGAACCAAAATTACAATCTGTTTCTCTGAATGGCCTTGTGAAAGCCTAAGATCATATTTTATAATTTAGCTAGTCATGTTGGCAATAGAACAAGTTTTCAAATCATGCCCACCTTTCCCAGAATGCGATTTATAATGGACTGTTTTTGTACTGCGTAAAAAACAAGAGTAATTATGTGATGGCAGAAATGCAGGGTTGTGTTCCAAATGAAACAACTACAAGTGTGCTTGCTGAATGTAGCCAGAGTAGTTTCTGATTTAGTTAATCAACAAATGCAGCGAAAAGTACAGTAAATGTAAAACGCACATTTAAAATCAACAGTGTAATGTTTGGATTCAGACTTGTCAGGTGAACTGTTGTGTACTCACCTTTGGTCTAATAATTTCCCCATTAACTCCAAACTGTTCCCTTTCAATTGCGACCATGGTTATGCATATGCTTTTCATATTTTTTCTGTAACAAACATGTACATTTAGCCCTATCTATATAGGCCATTTCCCACGAGTGTGAGGGGTTCAAGTTTGCATGAATTAAGATGGGTTTCAATGCATTCTTACTTTAGCTGCTTCGATGCAGCATTTTGATAACTGTTTTTAAACTGTAAGCATTTAAAGGCATTGGTTTTACTGGAAGATATCTCAACGATATAAGTCTATCTCACTATGTAAACTTCTTCCACTACCATTAATAATAATACTTTCAGCCAGCTGAGCAAGTAAAACGTTTCTACTAAAACGTCATTTTCTAGTTGACATAAGCTATGTCCAATCAATCAATGGCTGGTTGTGTGGGAGTGTTTGGTTGTGGGATCACCTAAGCCAGTGGAGGCATAGCTCTATAAAACTTAATTGCACAAAGCCTATTATTTGGTAGGGAATACTATTTGTAGATCAGTGATTCTACACCTCACTTTGCTCAAGCTGATCCGCTCCAATGAAGTTGTAGCAAAAAATGTCAATTAGGGGCAGTTTAAGGGGAGAGTCAATGAAACCAACCACAGGACAGTATGCTTACAGGGTAAGGAAACCAATATGTGATTTTGTCATTTGGGTTAACTATCCAATGAGCCTGTGAATAAGTATCAAATGCTGTCACACATCAACCAATTATACATTTATTTGAACAGATTATCTATTAAACGCATGCTGCACACACACTGTCAGTCCATGTAGCGTGTATTGATCCATTCTTGATTATGTCAATGAAGAGAATACACACATTGTAATGATCTAACCTTACCCATAGTAAGCATTTTACAAACCCTTCTATGAGTTGACTATTGGGAATGCAGTTAGTGCAGTCACATTGTTAGCACTACAGGCCAGTTGCTGGTTTGATCCCAGTGTAGCCTATGTGAAATGGCTAACTAGTTAGACTTTTAAGTAGTGGTTTCCCTTGCTCTGCAAGAGACCCGCAGATTTTGTGGAGTGACAGGTAACAATGCTTTGTGGGTGACAGTTGTTGGTATGTTCAGAGGGTCCCTGGTTCGAGCAAGGAGAGGGACGGAAGCAACACTGTTACATTGATGCTGTTGCCCAGATCACTCAGTTGGGCTTTGTCCAGAGAAGGAGGAGGTCAAAGTGGGGAGTAAAAGTTGGCTAGCTAGTTAGCGGTACGCGCCAGTAGTGTTCAATCGGTGAGGTCACCTGCTCTGAGACCTTGAAGTAGTTTTCCTTGCTTTGTAAGGTCTGCAGCTTTTGTGGAGCGATAGTTGACAATACTTTGTCGGAGACAGTTGTCGATGTGTTCAGAGGGTCCCTGGTTCGAGCCCAGGTTGGGGCAAGAAGAGGGACGGACACAACACTGTTACACAAGCTAGTCCCAATTTCACAAAAAAAAGTGTGGTCTACATTATACCTTTTGTGACCATGTAGTAAGTAAGTGGCAAAGGTTAGGCTACGCTCGTCCAAACGTCCAAACAAATAGGCCAAAGTTCAACAAATGCACTTCACTTTTGATTCATGGACAATTAATCTGAAAGTCAAACTTTATTCAACACTAAGATGCCTGACAACGTGAATTCTCTGATGCTTCTTAAGGTGACTGGACTGACTGAAAGTCTTGCCGCACTGTTGGCAGCCATACGGTCTTTCCCCAGTGTGGACCCTCTTATGTTTCTGCAGGTTCCCAGCGTGACTGAAGCGTCTCCCACAGTGCAGGCAGCAATAGGGTTTCTCCCCTGTGTGACAGCGCTGGTGGATCCGAAGATTCCCGATCCGGCTGAACGTCTTCCCGCACAGAATGCAGCTGTGGCTCTCCTCACGCCTAAGCAGAGGCCTGTGTTGTCGCCTGGCGTCCTGGACCAACTCTGGGTGACATGCGAAGGGAAACGAGTCCACAAAGGTGTTTAGACCTTCTGCGTTGATGTAGTGCACTATGCCGTGCATTTCCGGGTTGTTCTGCATGGGTTCCGGGGCACTGTGATTTTGCGTTGCGCTACTATCCGAGTCTTCACACTCAAAAAATTGGTTCTGGTCTGGGGGCTCTTGGGGGGCAGAGGAATATTCCAGGTGGTCAGGTTCGGTTTTGATTTCACCCGAGGACAGACCTGGGTGAGGAGGAGAGCTGGGATGGCTTAGGGGTAACATGTTGGAGGACATATGTCCTGTGTGCATGGAGTCTAGGTCGGCGTCACATAGAGAGTGAGGCATGTATACAGTCACCTGTGACAACCTCTCGGGAGGCGCTCCGCTACGCTCAGCTAACGTTAGTGTGACATTACACTCAGTCTCGGAGTCCTCCAAGTGGTCTAGCTCCAGTGAGTTGTTGTACTCTTCCTCCAGTCTCCTCCACGGTTTCTGGGTGAGCACTGGTTTGTCCTCGTGCTGTGTAGACTCTGGGTCCTGTTGAATCGGCCAGGGGCTGCCCTCGCTTCCCTCCTCCTGCTCGGTTTTACCTGAAATGGCTGTGGGAGCAGTGGCAGACTGTTGAGCTGCCAAAGACAAAGATAGTATCAGAAAACCACACACCACATTTTAGAGAGTAACAATTGTTGACTGTATTAATTTTATCAGGCATATCACAATGCTTCTCATCTGTCCCCACAGATGAATAACTAAAGGACTATCTAAACATCAGAATTAGACCTAGTTTCTGCTACATGTGCTTTTGACGAAAACTACACCCAACAACTTGATAGCAGTCTCATCTGAGCAACCCAACAACATAGACTCAGAGCAGAAAGTCAGGCCCTCCTCATACTTACAGTAAACTAGGCCTACTACTTCAGCCACAATCATTGAATCTCACCTGTGTTCTCTCTCTTCATCTTGTCCTGGAGTTCCTGCAGTCTCCTCCTCAGACTCAAGTTCTCTCTCTGAGTTCTGGCTGTTTTCTCCTGGTACTCAGACACAGTCTCTTTCACCACCTCCAAAACCTCATGCACCGCCACCGTCAGCAGCTTCGCCACACGGGCGTTCAGACGCTCAATTTTCGACATGATTTACAAATTAGGTCACAGGACTAAAGTGCAGTGAATGATTGTGAGAACGTCCAAGTTTGTCATGTAAAAAGGCAGGGCAGGGCTTACAAGGAAGGGCTTACTTTGAAGCCATCGATGACCGTCCAATGGTGGTGGCTGTTAGCTAGCTAACTAGCTGCTAAGGTTAAATATCTTACCACACAGAGGCTCTGACATGCTAACGTTAGCTTCTGACTACATAAAGTCCTGCTTTGGCTCCGATGTATCGTCTTTGTCTGAGCGATCAAAATGCAAGTTTAACATAAAATGTCTCACCTGTCTCCATTTGTGCATAACTGCAGAACTGTTTTGATGTAGCACAGAGCTCGTTACTTCCGCAAGTCACGTAAAGGGGCGGTGGCCAGAACGGACGCGCCATCATGTTCGTCTTTCACTTTTGACAGTGATTTTAATTTATTATGAATCTTTCTTTACATTATATGTAGCCCCAACAGTGGAATATATTTTATTAACACATACAAGTAATAGTACATACACATTTTGTTTGATAAAATATTCATTTGTTTATTCAAAATGACAAGAATTCCACACATTCTAGAGATTTACTAGTAGTAAAGACCAAATAGGAAGACTCCCAGACCCACACCACCATTGTTAGGAATAATACAGTAAATTGTGGTCCTGCCCATTAATTCTACCAGTGAGATTTGGTGTTGAAAATGTCAAAAACAGCTTTTCACAATATTGTCCACATCAGAAAACCCTAACAAAGATTAGTAATTATGTGAAGTCAAACAAAGTAAGCAATGCTCTTCTGCTAGAGAGGATCCTTTCACTTTCCTGAACATTTCCCCCATACACTTAATCTGTCCAACTCTAAATAAATGTCATTGCGCTCAGTCAAAGATCCCTTATGTTCTCATACATTATGGCACTGATCCTAGGTGAGTGAGCTGGTGCTTCTTGAAATTACTAGAGTGACTGAAGCGTTTTCCACACTGGGTACAGCCATACGGTCGCTCTCCAGTGTGGTACCGTTGGTGTATTTTCAGGTAGCCTGACTGACTGAAACGCTTTCCGCACACAGAACAACAGTATGGCTTCTCACCAGTGTGGACCCTCTTGTGTTTTTTAAAATCACCCGCATGACTGAAGCACCGGCCACACAGAGGACAGCAGTAGCGCTTTTCACTACCGAGATGTCGCTGGAGTATTCTCAACCCTCCTGCTCCACCAAAAGATTTCCTAAACGGGAGGGTATTGTGCTGTTCATCAAATCTGTCCAATGTCGATTCTGCATTGTTTCCCAATGCAAATGGTTCCGAGCCATTTTGGTTTGGCTGGAAGTACCCTGAGTTAGGTTGAAGAGGCTCTCGATTGAGTTGGGTCTGGGGTAAAATGTGGCTTGAGCCTGCACAGTCATAAAAATGCTTTGGTGTTGAATATGTGGCATACGCTTCCACTTCAGGTTCTGTTTTGATCTCCTCAAAAGTCAGCAGTGGTTGAGAGGCCTGAGGGGAATCGTTTGGGAAAAGGGAGTTTGAAACGGTGTGAGTGGAGTTCATATGACTCAATATTGTTTCTGACAGAGCAGTATCAGTCTCCAGAGTGTGGTGTCCCTTTACAAGTGTATCATGTCCTGTCTCAGATTTAAGATCCAACTCTCTGCTCTGTGTGGTCGTCTCTGGTCGTTCCTCTGTCAGCAAGCTCCTTGGGCCACCCGCTGAGTGGAACGACCTGCTCTTCTTTTTCAAACTGATAGCAGGAGGAAAGGCAAATGTTTGGACTCCAAAGGGTCTTTCGCTGGTAAGTCGATCATGTGGCTCTGGAGAGAGAATCTCTGTCAACTCCTCTTCAGATGGGAAGAGTTCAGTGTCCTCACCCAGGGAAAGTTCCTGCTTACAATTCTGCAGCTCAAGTTGGACAGTCACAGTCTGCACAGCACCTGTGAACATGAACAAGATGTATTTTGGCTTATAGCAAGGTAATAGGAGATTGACTGGGGGAGGGTAGCTGATGGTGATCATAAGCAATAAACTTTTATTTGTCAATTGTGAAATGGAAATGTGTCTTTCTGTATTTATTTTGTTCTCAACCTCCTGGAGACCACACATACACACAAGAGGTTAGCCCCTGGAGCTTGTTAGGGTTGGGTCATTCCATGTCATTTCAACAAGCCAGGACACTCACCATCTCAGATTGTTCTGAAAACATTTATGTAGTTAGAAACAGATAATATTAACATTCCTGATACATTTTGTTGAAATATAATATGATCTCTGAGAAATTAAGCTAATTGATTGCACCCAAATTGGCAATTTTGTTGTGTTACAGCCTGAATTTAAAATGGATGAATTGAGATTGTGTAACTGGCCTGCACACAATACCTCATAATGTCAAACTGGAATTATGTTTTGAGAAATCTTTACAAATGTATAAAAAATGAAAAGTTGAAAGTATTAAACCCCCTTGTTTTGGCAAGCCCAAATAAGTTCAGGAATTGAAAATTTGCTTAACAAGTAGCATAAGTTGCATGGACCCACTGTGTACAATAATAGTGTTTAACATGATTTTTGAAAGACTATCTCATCTATGTACCCCACACATACAGATAATTGTAAGGTTCCTTAGTCGAGCAGTGAATTTCAAACACAGATTCAACCACAAAGAGCAGGGAGGTTTTTCCAATGCCCCACAAAGAAGGGCACCTATTGGTAGATGGGTAAAAAATTAAAAAAGCAGACATTGAATATCCCTTTGAACATGGTGAAGTCATTAATTACACTTTGGATGGTGTATCAATACACCCAGTCACTACAAAGACACAGGCGTCCTTCCTAACTCAGATGCCGGATTGGAATGAAACCGCTCAGGGATTTCACCATGAGGCCAATGGTGACTTTAAAACAGTTACAGTTTAATGGCTGTGATAGGAGAAAACTGAGGATGGATCAACAACATTGTAGTTACTCCACAATACTAACCTAAATGACAGAGTGAAAAGAAGGAAGCCTGTTCAGAATAAAGAATATTCCAAAACATGCATCATTTTTGCAATAAGGCACTAAAGTAAAACTGCAACAAAAAAAATGGCTAAGAAATTAATTTTATGTCCAGAATACAAAGCGTTATGTTTGGGGCAAATCTAACACAAAACATCACAGAGTACCACTCTTCATATTTTCAAGCATGGTGGTGGCTGCATCATGTTATGGGTATGCTTGTCATCAGCAAGGACAAGGGAGTTTTTTAGTTAAAAATAAACTGAATAAAGCTAAGCACAGGCAAAATCCTAGAGGAAAACCTGGTTCAGTCTGATTTCCAACAGACACTGGGAGACAGATTCACCTTTCAGCAGGACAATAACCTAAAACACAAGGCCAAATATACACTGGACTTGCTTACCAAGACGATATTTAATGTTCCTGAGTGGCCTAGTTACAGTTTTGACTTAAATTGGCTTAAACATCTATGGCAAGACTTGAAACTGGCTGTCTAGCAATGATCAACAACCAACTTGACAGAGCTTGAAGAATTTTAAAAATAATAATGTGCAAATATTGTACAATCCGGGTGTGCAAAGCTCTTAGACGCACCCAGAATCGCTGCTAAAGGTAATTCTAACATGTATTGACTCAGGGGTGTGAATACTTACGTAAATGTAATTTTGAAATAAATGTGCAACATTTTCTAAAAACATGCTTTCACTTTGTCATTTTGGGGTATTGTGTGTAGATGGGTGAGGAAAAATGTTTTTAATCCATTTTAAATTCAGGCTGTAACACAACAATATGTGTAATAAGTCAAGGAGTGTGTGGATTATTTCTGAAGGCACTAACAGTCAATAAATATACAGTCGTATGAAAATATTTGGGCACCCCTCTGAGGCTGCATAATAATTTACTCTGTCGTCACAGAAAATGATCACAGTGGCATGCCATTCAAAGCTGAGTACTGGGGTATTGTCCAGACAACGATTTTTAGTGTAGCAATATTAAGTTGTTTGAAATTAAATCAGATGTGAAAAATAGGCTATGCAAACATTTGGGCACCCTTGTCATGTTGATTTGAATACCTGTAACTACTTAGGACTGATTAATTGGAACACACAATTGGTTTGGTGAGCTCATTAAGCCTTGAACTTCATAGACAAGTGCATCCAATCATGAGAAAAGGTATTTAAGGTGGCCAATTGCAAGTTGTTGTTCTCTTAGACTCTCCTCTGAAGAGTGGCACCATGGGGGCCTCAAAACAACTCTCAAATGACCTGAAAACAAAGATTGTTCAACATTATGGTTTAGGGGAAGGCTACAAAAAGCTATCGCAGAGATGTAAGCTGTCAGTGTCCACTGTGAGGAACATAGTGAGGAAATGGAAGACCACAGGCACAGGAGGCTCTACTAAATATTGATGTGATTTTTCTGTTGGGGTGCCCAAATTTATGCACCTGTCTAATTTCGTTTTGATGCATATTGCACATTTTCTGTTAATCCAATAAACCTAATTTCACTACTGAAATATTACTGTGTCCATCAGTTATTTGATAGATACATGAAATTGCTGATCTAAACACCAAATTATTTATAAATTGAAATCATGGAAATTGTCAGGGGTGCCCAAACTTTTTCATACGACTGTAGTACCTAACATTCGATTTGGACCAAACTTTTTTCTAACAATGAGTAAGACATTAGGAATGCAAAGAAATTGTCAAAAGCCATCCACAGACAACCCACGCCAATCCCACCCCAAAAACGAGTCTACAGTATCAGTTCTCTATGGCTGACAAGTAGTATGGAGCTGCAGCTCGATGTATTGTTCCTTCATCAGTGAATTTTGATTTTCTTTTTTTCCTGTTCAGAGAAATTACAAATTGAAGTTCTTAGGCTTATGTGTGTGTGTGTGGGGGGGGGGGGGGGGGGGGGGGGGGGGGTCACGGCTATCACCTAATAGCACCTAGTGGTCAGAACCTGGTAATATCAGGATGTAGGATGGGACATAAACCTAACAACTTCGTACTATGTCAGACATAGAGAACTGATACTATATACTCGTTGTTGGGGTGGGATTGGTGTGGGGGTGACTTTTGACAATTTCTTTGGATTTCTTACTCATTGTAAAATAAAAAAATAAAGTCCAAATCAGATGTAAGGTACTATATTTATTGAATATTATATGAATCCTATAAATTTTTATGGCCAATTTGGGTGCAATTAATTAGCTTAATTTCTCAGCGATCAAAAGTATATTTAAACAAAATAATGTTGTAGGAATGCTAATTTTATCTGTTTCTAACAACAGAAGCAATTTCATAACTATCTGAGATGGTGGGTGTCGAAATCCTCTTTCTTGTGCTTTGAGGTGGAACGACCTGGTTTAGAGTGCAATGCTCAAGGGCCCAACAGCAGTAGCGCCTAGCATACACTTTTACTACTCTGACTCACCCGTGTTCTCGCTCTTCATCTTGTCCTGGAGTTCCTGCACAATTTTCCTCAGACTCTCGTTCTCTCTCTGAGTTCTGGCCGTGTTCTCCTGATACTCTGATACCGTCTCTTTAACCACCTGCAGAACCTCATGCACTGCCACCGTCAGCAGCTTCGCCACACGGGCATTAAGACGCTCAATTTTAGACATCTTCCGAAGGCTTCCATCTGCTTGATAGATGAGGTGCAAAGCTCTTAAAAATCAGCACTAGAAATACACAGTTAAAACGTGGTGTAAAATGTATCACATGAATGAAACAGATGTTCTGTTCAAGCAACAATGTTGCAATAAATGGAGCACAAAACTTCCAAGGCAGTAGGTAGGTTTTCATCCAATTGGCGACAGATTTTCATGTGAATATTCTAAAGAAAATATGTCAATTTTCCCACCAGTGGTATGTTTCCACCAAATAGACTTATTGCGAACTTTAAAAAAAATCAGTGCTTGATGACGTAGTGCACACAAAATGTACTTTTTCACTTAAGCTTTCATGTACCAAATAAAAATCTAAAGTTCAATCTGTTTCAATCGCATTTTCAACTCTACGGAGAGTTTTGTCACAATAGTAAACGTGCCTACTCTGGTCTTGGCAACTGCGCTCTATAGCCAACAGCTCGCAGATACAATACGGGTAGTCTAGTCTACATTATGAGATTATTATGGATAAGTGCGAGAATATTTGTATTTGTCAAACGGCAATCAAGCATCGATCATCATGTCACCAGAATTAGACCCTTGATATTTATTGGAAAGCAGCATCAAGCTCATCACCGTGCACTTTCACCACCCTGTGAAGTTCATCACTTATTTCATATGTAGTTTAATAAACTGCATGGTTTCCCGAGTCGTAGTAGTGGGAGGACCACACACCATATCAATGCGTGACTCCAAATGTACTTCGATTATGGTTATTATATCAACATTTGCGCATAAAGGCGTTTCCACCGCCATTTCCCGCATAATTAATTTTACCGACACAAAAAGATACCACCATGTCAAACGAACAAATAATCTGTGGGCATTTATAAAATTACACCAAAACTTCCACAGCTGTCGTGATTTTTTTTATACGATGTGACTTTACTCGCATAAAAACTGTGGATGGAAACGTAGTTAATGACAGATATTTACTTTACATTTTCACGACAGATACAAGGATAAATGCGGTTTATCGAACATTACCCATTTGATTTCTCCTCTCACTCCTTCGAGCATGGAATCCGCCTGAAATGCAAGTTAATCACAAACCGACTCTTGTGCTAGGGTGTGCATATTCTCCGTCCATCCACCCGATTCTTGATTCGATTTCTCTAGACGGGGACATTTAACAACATCATAGAGGAAGATTTGACATAAACAACATTTGTCAGATGTCTCATCAGCAACACAAACAAAAATACTTCCGGGTGATAGAATTTCGAAATGTTTCAAAATAAAAGTGCCCCTCGTAATATTTGTCTAAACATTAACAATGATTCATATTTGTTCATATTTAAGTGACATTTGCATTAAATGTGGGTTTTAAAACATGTTCCAAGGTCTAATAAATGGTCTATAAGCCGCTATGTATTCCATATAAAGTGATTTGCATTGTGGAATGGGTGGAGTAAAAGGCCAGCAATACTCTGTATTATTCGGAGCCCCATGAAATTACACCAAAAATACATTCTACATTCCACATGGTTTCCATCTGTTTGATGCCATTCCATTAGCTCCGTTCCAATTATTATTATGAGCCGTCCTCCCTTCAGCAGCCTCCACTGCTACTGAGTATTCCTTACAATGCTTTTACTGTGGCACCCAGAATAGTTTTCGCTCTATTAGCCAATATTTATTCCATATACAGTGATTTGCATTGTGGCCAATGGAATGGGTGGAGTAAAAGGCCAACAACACTCCGTATTATTCAGAGCCCCATGAAACAACACAATATATACATTCTACAGACCCTACTGAGTATTCCCAACCCCACTTTTACATTGGCACATATAATCGTTTTTTCTCTATCTGCCAATATGCAGACAAACGGCTTTAACAGAAGCCTACCATTGAATACTGCAGGGCAGACAAACAGCTTTAATAGAAGCCTACCATTGAAAACCACAGGGCAGACAAAAGGCTATAATAAAAGCCTACCATTGAATACTGCAGGGCAGACAAACAGCTTTAATAGAAGCCTACAATTGAATACTGCAGGGCAGACAAACAGATTTAATAAAAGCCTACCATTGAATACTGCAGGACAGACAAACTGTTTTAATAGAAGCCTACCACTGAATACTGCAGGGCAGACAATCAGTTTTAATAAAAGCCTACCATTGAATACTGCAGGGCAGACAAACAGCTTTAATAGAAGCCTACCATTGAATACTGCAGGGCAGACACAGAAAGTGAATACTGCAGGGCAGACAGACAGCCAGTGAATACTGCAGGGCAGACAAACAGTTTCTGATTGTACAAAACACAAACTATTGTGTACAGCAGTGGTCGTTCAGGATAGATACATCACCAACATCTTTCTCCTTTCTCCTCCTGTCTTCTTTCCCCTTGAGCATCTAACCTTCTAAGTCACTGTTTACAGACATCTCATTACATATAACCACAAGGCTCTGGATTTGTCCCAAATGGCACCCCATTCCCTTTAAAACGTATTTTAAAGTTTGTAATTTTCACTTTCAAATGTCAGACTTAATTTGCCCTAAAAATGTATCAACCCCCCTAACGAAAAATGTATCAACCCCTACAAAAATGTCAATTGATTGTAATCTACACATTTCCTGTTGCTGCAAGATTATTTTCCTGCTGTGAGAAACTGGTCAAATTAAGATCCTACATCTGTATATAGTGCACTACTTTTCACCAGAGCGCTATGGACCCTGGTCAGAAGTAGTGCACTACATAGGGAATAGGGTGCCATTTGGGACACAGCCACTGTCGTTCATTTATTCTTGCCAACCACTGTTAAGGTTCAATCAGGCACCGTTGATTGCCAATCAGCCTTCTCAAGCTTTGTTTTCGTCCCATGTTGCTATCTCTCTCCTTTTTCAGGACGTGGCCTGTTCAATGTCACATGCCAATATCCAGTCATTTAATTGTTTATAGAGTTGAAGAAAAGAGCAGGCCTACCTTAGTGGATAAACAGGCCAATTACATGTATATTTGCCACAAAAAACTATTGTTGCACAACAAACTCATTTACTTTCTCTGCACTGCATTTTTCTCACCAGAACAGACCCCCCTTTGAACATAATGACAAACACACCTGAACAGACCCCCTTTTAACATAATGACAAACAAAAGCAGACCTGAGATAGTGGATGGGTATGCAGCAACGTTGGTTCAGGAAGGAAACTGAAATTCAAATTCCAAGCAATGAGGAAAATTGGAATTTCAGTTTACTTCCTGAATTGACTGAATTGAAGTCAATAGACTTCAACCTTGGTTTGCCGTGAGGCTATTTACAGTTGAGAACATTGTCTTTTTTTGGTTTGAATTTTGAATTAGTAACAAGGTCTAAATATATATACATAGTGCCGGAATGAATACAACAACAACTACTACAACAACAACACAGGTGAAAACGATAGCATACCTAAGATGCTGAGTTCTGCGCTGGAGTAGATGGCTCCGTATTTGTTCTCAGCGACACACTGGTACATCCCAGAGTCAACCTGTTGGACCTTTTGAATGATTAGCTCCCCATTCACCATCTCCACTCTGCTCTGTAACACAACATACTCCTCTTATCAATGGCATAACACCTTGGCAGTGTCCCAAATGGCACACTATTCCCTATATACTGTAGTGCACTACTTTTAAACAGGGCCAATAGGGCCCATAGGGAGACCCATAGGGAGACCCATAGGAAGACCCATAGGGCTCATAGGGAGACCCATAGGGAGACCCATATGGCTCATAGGGAGACCCATAGGGCTCATAGGGAGACCCATATGGCTCATAGGGAGACCCATAGGGCTCATAGGGAGACCCATAGGGCTCATAGGGAGACCCATAGGGAGACCCATAGGGCTCATAGGTAGACCCATAGGGCTCATAGGGAGACCCATAGGGCTCATAGGGAGACCCATAGGGCTCACAGGTAGACCCATAGGGCTCATAGGGAGACCCATAGGGCTCATAGGGAGACCCATAGGGCTCATAGGGAGACCCATAGGGCTCACAGGTAGACCCATAGGGCTCATAGGGAGACCCATAGGGCTCATAGGGAGACCCATAGGACTCTTGGGCTCTGGTCAAAATTTAAGTAGTGCACCATTTAAGCAATAAGGCACGTGAGGCAGTGTTGTGTCATGAATAGAGTCACAGGTAAGAGGCAGTGCTGAATCATGAATAGAGTCACAGGTAAGAGGCAGTGCTGTGTCATGAATACAGTCACAGGTAAGAGGCAGTGTTGTATCATGAATACAGTCACAGGTAAGGAGCAGTGCTGTATCATGAATACAGTTAGGGGTAAGATACAGTGCTGTGTCATGAATACAGTCACAGGTAAGAGAATAAATCAAATCAAATCAAAATCAAATCAAATGTTATTTGTCACATGCGCCTAATACAACAGGTGTAGACCTTACAGTGAAATGGGGACTATGCAAATAGTCCGGGTAGACATTTGATTAAAGTGTATTGCATTGGGACCAATGGAATGGGTGGAGTAGAAAGGGCTGCTGAGTATTTAGACCACAGTCATCCAAGAAATAACACAATTTATAGACTCTAGTGCTAAATCAATAGGGTCTGTTAATGGATGCTAGCTTGCTAGTTAGCTACGGCGTCATAGCTAGGCATCGTGGGTTGTCGTGGGTAGTTACTGTGTCTTGGCAGTGTCTTCGGCCGTGCCGGCTGTAGCACGAAGCGAGCTACCTAGCCGTTTTTTCTAACAGAGTCAGAGTCAACACAATAGCCATTGTGTGCCGGGTGTAGCACGAAGCTAGCTAGCTAGCCGTTCTTCAAACAAAGTCAACACAGTGGCCATTGCTAGCTACCCAACACGACCAGCTAACTGTACGGTAGTAGCTAAATACAATATACTTGTCCTAGCTAGCCAACGTCTAATCATTGCTGCGTCATGAAAGGAACTTGACACAGACACGAATGATCTGTTTAGTGTGTTATCACACTATTGGTGGTTTGTTGTGACCAAGTGTTGGTGCTAAACGGTGTGTTATTGTTAT